CCCAGTAAACACCACATCACTAACCAGTATCTCAAGGTGAATGTGTACAGGGATGAGTGCCAGAATAAAAAAAAGTTAGAAGTATGTCAGTGAAAATAAATGGTGAGAAGATTAAACAGCTGTGAGTGTTTAATATTCTGTCAATGTTATAGTACACATTACAATAACATCACTAGTCAGTTCTAATAAATGGTATTGATCATTTAAACACAGATAGACTGCATATACATATGATTTAAACTTTATACAAATAAACATATAGATTACAGTACATGAAAACTCTGCATTAATTAATCTGTATGTTTACATTGGCTGAACGTATTAGGCACGCCCAGCATAATTAATGTTGCCCTTACAAACACACTGAATGTGACATGGACATACAAAGGTTTGCAAATGCCAAAGATTCAACTGCCGTGAGCAGAGCTTGGTCATGAGGATTCCCTGCTCAGAATAATCCAGCCACATCCTGCCTCCAGGATAAATCATGTTAGCCCAGTCAAATATGCTCCCTTCGTTAATGAGGACATTAAAAAAAAAAATCTTCTCAGTGCTCAGGAGAAACCCATAATGCGGTAGGTTAAAAGCAATGTGAAAGGATACCAATGAAAATGGAATGAGCATCAATGTGAAAAAAAAAACGTTTTCTTGATATCTTTAATAAACTTCCCTTCCCAATGGGCACTTCTCACAAATTAGATGAAGCAGCCAAACGGTGAGCCAAGCCCATAAACCCAACCACAACATTAAAGAAAACAAAACTACAAATACTTTATCCTGGGTGAGCTCTTCAATTCCAGGAAAGGCACTTTAACTGAGTTTCCTTACCTTTAAAGCTGCCTGCTCCTTCTGGTGTCCTGCAGAGAGAATCCTACCCTGTTTGTGGCACACCACTCAGCTGCAGCGTGTATTGTTTTACCAGATAGCATCTGGAAGTGGGATGCAGTTGTTATTGAGAAATGCCTAAGAGAAGGGGATGTCTAAGTCATGTAAAACATAGGCTCTGTTGTAGCTGTAGACACACCCCCCACACCCCCCTTTTCTGCACTTCCAGCACCAAGCTGCAGTCAGGAAGGTAAATCATGCTTAACTGTAGAACATCAGAACTCACCAGAACAACAACTGATAGAAAAATAAATGAACGAATGAATCAATCAATCAATCAATCAATCAATCAATAAATGTCAGGAGGGTTAACTCTAAAGCAGAGCTGTTCAGGCTACATTCATCCCTTTTAAAAGATCTCCGTAGTGCACTGCCTAACCTATTTTTCCGTATATTATCGGAAAACATATTCTTAAGAACTGGACTGACGCTTGTTAGGTTTTACAAGGATCAAACACCCAATGAGGATATATACACCTCATTCTCATTTAACACCACCCCCTTCATTGTTTACAGAGTTCCTCTGTAAACATTTTCTCATTGTCAGCTTTTACCTTCTCCAACCCACTCTATTCCAGAACTGTAAAGAGTCTCTCTTCTGCTGTGCTGGCTGTACTGGGATACGGTTACTTTTCTAGGTTTAATTATATCCATCTACAGACACTGTACACCTGGGACTGCTGTGTAAAGCCCCACTGCTGTTTTTTTAATACAACAGTAGATGTTGAATCTTTTGCCAGTAAACCTTATGCATTACACAATTTCTTTTCATTTGTCACTTTGACTGAAAGTATGAAAAAGAAATAATGGTGAAAAATAGTAAAATATTCAAAATATTTTGGGACTTTCATGAAAGGAGCTTGAAATAAGGCTATATACAATTCAATTTATTGAAATCTTTTTAAATTATGAAGCATGAAATTCATATTCAAATGTCATTGGTAACAGTGCAGAAAGGAATTGTTTTTATTCAAATTAATTGTATGAAATAATATTCAATGATAATAGGATTGAAAATGCTTGGCTTTCTTACTGGCCTTTTCTAATTTAAAATGACAATTAATACAATTTTACAATTATTAAAGGCATACCAAGCCATAATACCTTTGACATAGATTCTGGGATTAGCATATTTCCAGTTATTTAAAATGCAGAAAAATATGTTGGTACTTTAAGGGATTTCACTCACTCCAAAAAAAAAAAACGTTCTCATATCAAAGCAAGAAAAAAAATTCTAAACTTGCAACCTGAGCCTTAAATGACTTTTAAAAAATAAAATTCTTTTAAATAATTAAATGTGTATACAGTAAGTGGTTTTTGAATTGCTGTGTCCACTCAGAAGTGGAATGATCATGTAATTGTCTATTGCTTGTATAGCATAAACATCCTTTTAGTGTGGAATAGTTCCTGAGAGACACTACAGTATTGCTGACCAGGCAATGACTTGTAAAAATGCTGTACTGCAGAATTATTTTCCACCACATTGACGTGTAGATCTTTGACACTGTACATCTGCAACATTTTATTAAGGGAAACTGCATTTGTAACGGAGATCAGGAGGCAAGTCTTTACACAAAGTGTGGTGGGAGTGTGTAACACGTTAGCCAGATATGTTGTCATAGTTGATACTCAGTGTTTTTTCTAGAAACCATTGGGTGAGTTTCTTGAATTAAGAAACAGCTAACTAGTGACCAGTTAGCTAACAAGTTAGATGATTCAAGTAAAGTCCTGGTTTGTAATCTTCCTTTTGTTTTTATACAAAGGCTAAAGTTACGCAAATTAAACTATTTGTCTGCATGCTGTACATCACACTTCATACTCCTTTACAGTAATTGGACAGTGCTTAAATATCAGTTTTTTGCAGACATCAATGTACTTAAAAGCACACAAGCAGAAGAAAAGAACTAACTGGATTTATCATAAATCAAAGGAGATACAACAGTCAATAAAGATTATAGTCTTAGACATATGTGCATGAAAAAGTATATATATATACATAAACAGTCAGCCAGAATGTGATGCATACCATTCCATCATCAATGATGCCCTAACAAATAAGAATGCATTCAAAATCATAAATCATGGAGCTGTCAAGAACTTCAAGAGTAGAAATAAAGTCAATAAAGCTTTTGAACCTTAACAGCTATAAAAAAATCAATTTCACTCTGAATATCCTGTATGTAAATAGCCATATTTCTGTGTGAAACATTGCTGAACGACCATGAATACTCTCAGTTTCTTTTTTGAGGCTGCCATCTGCTGGTAACAGTTACAAAGCTTCAATGTACAACAGTTTTCACACATTTATATTTTAAACTATTACTTTGTGGTGTTAGATAGAGGGGTATCCAGGTATTTTACTTGGTAATTTACCTGGTATTTTATGGCTGATGTAAATCTTTCCTCATAGTCAGGAACAGTCAGAAGTCCATCTATTTTGTATCAGCTCCTTAATAACTTTGAAGCAAATGTAATTATGAAAGAGATAAAGAAGAAAAGCATCCTATTTAGAGGACGAGATAAACATGGTCCAGACACATTTTAAGAAGAATATCAAAAATAACAAGAAGAACATAATAAAAAGATCACAAAAAACTAAAACAACCAAAAAAAAAAAATATCTTGTGTAAAACAGCAAGGTGAAATTAAAAATATTTGTAGGAGCAATCTGAATACGGATAACTAGAAAAATCTGTGTAAGGATCCCGACGAGGCCTTCATCTGGGAATCTGGAATTCCTAAAGGCTAAAAATCAATGGTTTCATGTTTCTGATTACATTTCAACCTGAAATGAAATAACAAAAATAACAAAAACCAAAAATATTGTACTAATAATACAGTACATATGCAGTAGCCCTATCTGATATCACTGCACTTGAATTTCAATCTAAACTGATAATAGATCCAGGCTTCATGTTCGATCCATATTTATTGTAAATGTGCAATATATTGTATATGAGTATATGTAACACTCTGCATGGCTTGGCACCTCAGTACCCTTTTGAGTTACTATCATCCTACCTTCACTCCTCTAATTCTGGTCTCCTGTCTGTTACCCAAGCCCCAGCACACTCTATGGATGACCGGGCCTTCTCCTGCTATGCCCCAAAGCTCTCAAACTCCATCCCTAAGGATGCCAGAGAGTCAAATTCCTTAAACTTTCAAATTGAAACTCAAAACCTTTTTTTCTTTAGAAGGGCCTTTATTTAACTGGTTCTGTCTGCCCTCTTTACTTTCCTACTTCCAAACTCTAATTGGAATTGTGTAATTCTGCTGTCTCCTCTCATTGTGTATTTTTTCTTACTGTAAAGTACTTTAAAGCCACCTTTAAAGGCACTATATAAAATATTATTATTATTACTCCTTACTACTACTGACACAAGAAATGCAGGATTTCATATATCCAGTTTCATTTAAATTGGTAATTATACACACAGTACAGGTACAGCAGTAAGACCAAACACATTTTTAATTGTTTTCCTTCATTACATTAAGCCTGTGTTCAGGCCACATTGTATAGGCTGGTTTTGTTTCAGCGCTCACAGTATGATATTTTACTCCATGGATATTCCAATTTGAAAATAATGTAAGAAATAGCAATATTATTTCTAATCACTTCCAAATATTTTTTTTGCAAATCAGTTAATTATTCAGACAATGATATTTGCAGACTCCAGAAGTGACTGTTACACACACATTAAATTATTTTTGCATCAAGTCAATGTACATATAAACAGTAAACCTTCAGTATTAATTAAGGAAAAACACGCTTAAGCCAACAAAATAAGAAAAACCACAGATATTTGTATTTCATACTCGTTTTTCGTTTCACCCAAATCTTCTAAGTTTGCAAACCAGCACTACCTACCACTTTACAAAAAACCTCCTTTACAAACATGGCTTCCTTACTGGATGCTCAGTTATCACGTGGTATGAGGCACTGAAGGTTTTCACAGATACTGCCTGCATAAAAAAATATTTATTTTAAGTCATTATAAAACAATAAAAGTATCTTACACGAAAACAATTATTATCACATTTCCTGCATACTTTCCCCAGACCGATGAAATGGGAGCGTATCGTTTCGGGTTTTGTTCTGGCGTTTTTTTTGACGACTAAAGCAGGAAAGACAGCGCGGGGTCTTTGCAGAGGAAAAACCGCCAAGTTCTGTGCTGGTTGGGATAATACGAAAACAAACGAATTTGTTGAATGGATAAAAAAAAACGCTAAGTAATTAAAACCTATTTTCATTCAAGATATCAACAAAAATGCTTAACATTTCACCCAGGGTGAGTAAATTACACGTGTGGTTATAATATTTTGTGTGCACCTAATTAAAACGAAAGTGGCATTATTTTGTTTTCATTTCGAAAGCTTTGTATATATCTGTAACACTGGCTTAAAGGCGTTCGGAAGTATTTTTGTTATAATTTTGTTTTTCTAAAGAGCCAACTTTGAGTGATTATCTGAAGGTAAAAAGAGAAAAACACGTTTGATATTAACTGGTTCGTAGTGTGGATGGCAGAGGGGAGGAGCTTGCTGTTGTAGCTGTGGCCTAACGACAGTATATTTCCATCGTGTGTGGGGAATATACCAGGGCTTTCCAGCTTTTAACAGACACGAATGCGCAGCTAGTCTATAAGCCCTTCCCAACGTGTTGATTTCCCTGAGCTGTTTGAGGATTTCAAAGAGAAAATATTGCATACTTGAAGAAACTAAAATAAGAAGGCTATTGCTGCGAGCAGCTAAATGCCACCCACTTTTCCCCCCACTTCGGAGAACGGCTATGTATACAGTATACAGGTTTAAAGGGATGAAGTCCGGAATTAAAGGCTGGAAGATGTAGTTGCGATAAATGTTTTCTTTTTTTATAAAATAAATGTATAAAACTGCAAACGATTTCCAGTGCGTTGATTGTGTATAAATTGTAACGCGAGTACTCGTTACTAGGCGGTGTTTACTTGCAGGCGTTGAGTGCGGAATGTGTGGGTTGGGCTCTTAAGTGTCAGATTTAAAAGACCCACGGGTACTGTTCTTACGTGTGACTGTGTTAGAAGAACAGTTATTTTTTAAAACGGGCTTTCCAAAGTTAAAGTTAAATGCCGAGGCCGTGAGGCGTCGTTTGTAATGGAAACAGACCAGTAACTGGTGGGATGTGGCTATATACAGGTGTACGACTGCTGAAAACGTCTTTCTCTTCTAGATCCTCCAGTAAGCGTGGTGTCAGCCAAGGGGTTTTAAAATGCCTGGCCTTGTGCAGAATGAAGGGAATGGGGCAGCAAGTGGTAGTCCGCTCAAGAAGAACCGACTGTCTCTGAAGTTCTTCCAGAAAAAAGAAACTAAAAGAGCTTTAAATTTCTCAGAGGCACAGGAGGAGGAGGAGGACAAGCCTTCAGAACCACCTGAAACTGAAAGGTCAGAGAGCACTTTTTACTTTCAGGATTTGGCTCATTCCAAAATTGCATATGAGATATATATTCACAAATGCAAGGTTTTTGGTGATGTAGTCTGGTTTGACTCATTTTCAAGTCAATTGGCTTCTAATCATAATTTAAAAGTATTGTAACGCAACGGGGGTTCAGGCGGGCGCCCTTGCCACATTAGGTCGGCCCCGCACCGTCAGGGGCTCGAACCTGGGATTCCTGTGTCACCCAACAGGGACCCAGCCCGGTGAGCCAAAGAGAGATCTCTCTACAGCCCAGTAGCTGTAGTCCTGCTATCACAGGGAAGGGCGGTGACGTCACCTGCTCTGGTAAGCCGGCTCTTACACAGTACATGTCGGCCGTAAGCGTTACACTCTCCCCCGCTTAACTCGCCGTCCCCGGCGAAGGGCTATCCCACCCCGCTTCTGACACCAATGTAACGCAACGGGGGCTCAGGCGGGCGCCATTGCCGCATTAGGTCGGCCCCCCACCTTAGGGGGCTCGAACCCGGGACTCCCGCGTCACTCAGCAGGGACACAGCCTGGTGAGCCAAAGAGAGATCTCTCTACAGCCCAGTAGCTGTAGTCCTGCTATCACAGGGAAGGGTGGCGACGTCACCGCTCTGGTAAGCCGGCTCTTACACACCCTGATGGCCGTAAGCGTTACAGTATAAAAAGACCAAAGGTAAAACGTTTTATGGCAATAACCTTGTACGTCTTTTACAGTTGTGACCAAGTTGTACCGGTCCCCAATCCATCATCTCCACTTACTTGTGAAAAGAAAGAACGACTTGTGCCTTTTGTTGGACTTAATAACCTTGGGAACACCTGCTATTTGAACAGCATTCTGCAGGTAAATAGAACTGGCTTCATGCAAGTAGGACATTCAAGGTTTTGAAGCTTTTCAGTAATTGTAATTCAGAAATACAATCCAAACTGCTGATGTGTTTTCTGTCTGGTATTTCCCGAAGCCTAAAAACATTCGTCGATACTTCACCTTAATTGCCATTGGGTATTCAAGGAGCTTGGACACTGTTGCAAAACACCGGGAACCATGCCATCATGGGGAGTGTTGGAGAATATTCTAATGATGTAAGATAAAAGAACGTCAACCTCAGCAAATGGAGGGACAGTTAAGAAAATGTTTACAGTATAGTGTCCTCGTCACTATGCTGGGGCATTAGGACCCACATGGACCGCAGGGCGAGGGACCCTGGCTGGCCCTATTTACACCTCTTCCAGCAGCAACCTTAGTTTCTCCCAGGAGGTCTCCTATCCGGGTACTGACCAGGCTCACACCTGCTTAGCTTCAGTGGGCTGCCAGTTGTGAGTTGCAGGGTGATATGGCTGCAAATATATAGTCAGAGCACAGTATTTTCATAGGCAAAATCATACCCATAGTTGGGTATCTTGAAGATTTGCCAAATAGCAATTAATTGACTCCCATGTCGTACTGGACCAAGTGATGTAGTTGGAATCAATGTAGGTTTTGGGTAGTTTAGTCTGCAGTATGACTTACACAAAGATACGTTTATGTTCTAAAAGAGTGCAGTCCCTTTACTGAAGTATGGAGGTGAGTCTGTTTTACTTCCACTTGTCCCGGTGGCCTAGTTAGGATTTTCGAAATGGATAGAGTTCAAAGTATATAAGGATATTTTATCCATAAACCTGGTTCCTACTCCTTAGATGCTCAAGCTAGGTTAGGTGTGATCTTTTCCAGCTGGATAATGACCAAAAGCATGCCAGATATTGGCACAGAAAATCAGCATTTTGAATGGGCATTATGCTCTCCATCTAAACCCAACAGACAGTTTGTGGTATGACTTTAAACAGTTCACATATGCTAGACATGTCATCTGAAGGAGCTGGTAGTAATGCGTGTAGAAATGCTCAAATATCCCTACTAAGAAGTGGGATATAGGTATTTATTCAACAAATGGTGAGTCTACCCTTTTTTAACAACTTTGTTACATTGGATAAGGAAATGATTACCTTTGGTACCACCAATTATACATCGAAAGTTTTTTTTGCCTACAATTAGGTGCTGTATTACTGCCCTGGATTTAAAGATGGAATTAAAAAATTGTATAACTTGCTGTCGAAGAAGAATGAAAAGCAAAAGGATGATGGAGCAAAAACCGAGGAAAAGGTATTACTGCAAAAAATGTAAACAGCTAAAAGAAATGGTTGTTGAAAGCATTTTGACATTGCCAGTGTATCTGAATAATTTCGTAATTCTCAGCATTTAGATAGTATGGTGGAAAGGAATTGGAGAAGCTGGCCACCTTGAACACAGTTTCAACTTATGAGAGGAAGGACAGAATCAGTAGTTGATTTTAAAATTTCCAGGGAGATGTTTAATAATAAACACAACAGAGAAAACACTGAAATGAACAGGTTTTTGACAACCCTTTTAAAACAACGCAGATATAAATTGTTAGTAAAGTTAGTCTTTTCATAGGAGATGAGTTTTAAATTTATGGAAAAAGAATGTACTGACCCATCATGAACAGGATTCCAATTTGGATGGCAGGAGGAGTTTCACTTTTATCACAGTGTATGGACATTGACTTTTGCATACTGGTCTGATGCAGTGATTTTGTTGTTGCAGCAGGAGCAAAGTGAAGAGGCTTTACCAGTGAATATTGAGCTGCTTAGCAGTTTTCACAGTTTGATAGTATCACTGGAACAACTTCAGTCAAGCTATCTGCTCAACCCTGAGAAGTACACTGATGGGGAATTGGCAGCTCCACCACGAAGACTGCTTAACACCCTCCGGTAGAAACATCATTGTCTTAAATACATCACGATTTGAGACCAAGGAGATAGTGCACTCAAGGCTACAAAACATGTTTTTTGAAGTATACATTTACAGTAATCCAACTAGTGTTCTCTTCTACTGTTAAAGTTAGTAATGTGGAAACCTGGAAGTCTAGTTCATGTTAGTAAGGGAATATGAGCTTTAGAGTATCAAGGGACTTATTTCCTTACAGTCTGCTAATAAAATATTAAGTTGTACTTGAAAAATCTCTGTGATGTGGAACTTGATGTTTTCATTTGTATTATTTTCATAGGCAGCTTAATCCCATGTATGAGGGATATCTGCAGCATGATGCTCAGGAGGTTCTGCAGTGTATCCTTGGGTACATCCAGGAGGCTTGTGAAACTATTAAGAAGGAGTACTTGTCTCATGAGGACCCAGCCGATAAGCCAACAGAGATGCACCAAAAACACATGGCAGAAAAGGAAGAGATTATAAGCAGCACTGCACCTAAAGTGAGCATCAGAGAGACTGAGAATGCATTAAAAGATGCAAAGAACCTTGAGCAAGACAGAATTCTGGAAGGGCAGGCCAATGGAAAGAGAAAAAGCGATACAGAAGTTGGGAATGCTAAAAAGAAGTCAAAAACTCATAAAACACAAAAACCAGTGGAAGAAAATAAACACTTCACACGGTCAAAGAGAAAGTCTTCCAGTGACATCGTGATAGAAAGCCACATGGAAGAGGTAAAAGAGGAAGGAAATGATTCAGATGATAAAAAAGACAATGTCTCCAAGGGAATTGCGAAGAAAAAGAAACGCCCCAAACTAAACTGGTTAAAGTCTTCAGGCAAACAGCCCAGCATCTTCTCTAAGTTCCGCAGTATGGGAAGGAGAAGTTTGCACTCGGGGGGTAAAGAAGAAGTAAAACCACCAGTGGGAAACGGGCCTTGTTTGGCTCTGGTAGAACATGAAGATGTGAAGGACGACACTGCTTCAGATCATCCAGTTGACAATCTCTTGCATGAAAAACAGAAGACCAAGAGTGAAGGTGAATTTGTTTAAAAGTTGGCAAATTCTGTATGTCAATGACCTTGTTTCCTTCTGCATAAGGAAGTACATATTAAAAAGACAAAACGAGTGAATAGTGAAGCAGGTTCCCATCAATCCCATTTTGTTAATGTCCTCCTGGTCCTTGCGTTTTCCAGGGGAGTGCTGTTTCGACCTGATGGAGCGGCTGTTCCAGGGGCAGCTGGTCCTGCGAACCCGTTGCCTGGAGTGCGAATGCTACACGGAGAGGAGGGAAGACTTCCAGGACATCAGTGTGCCAGTGCAAGAGGACGAGCCCAGCAAAGTTGACAGTAGCACAGAAAGTGAGTCTACAGCGACAGGAGTAGGAAACAGTGGGATGGAGAAAATATTAGGAATTCCACGAGATTCAATTTCCTGTACTAATTTTGGAAAAAGTTGTATCTGAGTGGAATCCTGTCAGGTCCCTCCATCCCCCTCTCCAGAAGGCCACTTTGTACATTGTGTTTTCATGCACAGTTACAGATAAAAAACATCATTTACACCTTTATGTGCACTTCTTGCTAAATTTGTCTTTAAAGCATGTGCCCATTGATTATTTGTAATATCTGTGAAACATGTGACAGATTTGTATAATGTCCTTTTTTCATGCTGCTTTTTAAAACAAGTTTTTCAATGTTTTATTTACAGTTTCTCCAGATCCTAAAATGGAGCTAAAGACACTGAAATGGGCAATATCTCAGTTTGCATCGGTGGAGAGGATTGTTGGGGAAGACAAATATTTCTGTGAAACCTGCCATCACTACACTGAAGCTGAACGAAGCCTTTTGTTTGACAAAACTCCTGAAGTTATAACAATTCATTTGAAGTGCTTTGCTGCCAACAGTTCTGAGTATGTTTTTTCATACGTATACATATGATCCCAGTTCTGTCATATAAGTAATGTATCATTTTAATTTTTTTTAAAGTTCTGTATGCTTAGAAAAATGCACTTTTTGATAATTCTGACGATTGATCTATACAGATCTATATATACAATATAATTGATTGATATAAGTATTACATACAAATCTTTATAACAAACTATGCTTGGTAAATACAATTTAAGGTACAAGAATTCTAGGGGTAGTGGTGAAGATAATGTTAAGTTTGATAAAAGCCTGTCTCTATATAATAGGTATGCCTGTAATTGGAATTTATTGAAATGTATCCCTAATACAAGTATGATTTTACTTTCTTTATGCTTTAGGTTTGACCCTTATGCTGGACTCTCTAAAGTGAACACCCCATTGCAGACACCACTTAAGCTGTCCTTGGATGAATGGTGCACAAAACCCTCAAAGGAAGACTATGAGTTATTCGCTGTTGTGATGCACAGTGGAGTCACCATCAGCAGTGGACATTACACAACCTACATCAAGATGATGGACCTTAAAAATGTAAAACTTCAGAATAAGGTACATATAGAAGAGGACCTCAAACCAGAACCTCTGAATGAAGCAGAAGCAAGGGCATGTGATATCCAGGAATATGACGATGGCGAAGTCTCGTTTGGCAAGAGTGGAAAAGGACATTCCACAGCAACTGGCAAAGTCAGCACTAAGAAGTCTTCAGAGGGTATTGGGCTCTTAGGAGGCCAGAGGAGCATAACAAGCTTTGAACTAGGGGGAAACAAGGCAGCTAATTCTGAAAAACCCATCTGTGCTACTGGTAACAATGGAAAAATGGATCATGGCTGTGCCAGTGGATATGAAAGTGCTATAAAGAGTGAGAAAGAATCTGCTGATGCAAACAGCACTTGTAATGAACTTTTGGATGCTAAGAGCCCATTGGCTGACTCAGCCTTTTGTAACGTACTAGATTATGAGGGAAAGTGGATGCTGTTTGATGACTCTGAAGTAAGACTCGTTGACGAAAAGGACTTTTTGAGTGCCTGTTCACCAGAGTCATGTACAACATCTACACCATATCTCTTGTTCTACAAGAAAGTAATCTGAACCTTGAATGGCTGCTGATTTTAGTTGTGGTTGGATTGTATTCATATCCACTGTTAATGCATGGGTCAAACAATTTAATCTAGTTTCTTTTTCATAAAACATGCTTATACACAGTTTACCTTCTTTAAGACAATTTGTAGACTTCAGGTTCAGGCTAATAGCCTGTACTCATTACAGTTTGTGATGGCTTGTGTAGCACCTTGGCACTTATAATGCATCATTAGGACTGTTTGTACTACTGTAATATGAAATACGTTGTAGTCTGTACATTTACTGCTTTAGATTGATACAGAAAGTGTATTATTGTTTTAAACTAGTTTTTGTGAACTAGCATTACTGGGCTTTCTAAGGAAATTGGGCATTGATCTACAGTGAATAAAGTTTTGCTTTATTTTAACCATGTTCTTTTATAGGGGTAATGGCATACAGTAGCATACAGCTCAAATACAAGGCCAAAGTCACATGAGAAAATGTCTTTGATCTTAAAAAGTCATCTTTATATACATAGTCAAATGCTAACATTTTATAAACCTAAAAACTGCTTTTGAGAATTATCTGCTCGTAACAAAATCTCAGTTTGTTTTGGCTGTATAAATTGAGTTAGATTTGAGGTTCAATGTTTTTGACACTTGGGAGAATGACCACAGAGGTCTATTACTGTCTTTGCTACAGTTGATTTATTTTGTAAATTCCAAATTTGTTAGTATTCAAATTGTGATAGTCAGTGGCACTATATGATATAGCTATTAATGGATTTATAAAGTTTACATTATTTTCTACTCATGTGTAAAGTTGTTTCTTACATTGTTTTATTAAAGGTGTATGTGCTAATTATGCTGAAATCAAATTTTACATGAATTTTTGAGTACCCATGTTAGCAAATAAATCATTTATGCACAGATTACAGACATTAAAATTTATTTAGTAAAATATTTAAAGTAAACAAAACCTACATAAAACTTTTTCAGGACATTTAAAACATTTTTCTAATTTAACAAATGAAGTAACTAAAATAATAAACCATTACTTTTTTGATAAATAGTGGTACATTTTTGCCTGTTTTGTGATTAAATATAATTTTTTCAAGTTGTACACAATGTAACAAAATCCATCAAGACAAAATTATTAATGTGCACATTTTGTTAGGTTATCCATATTTTAACACATACCGTCATAAGACCCACTTTAAAATTCAATACAGATAATAACACAAGATTGTAAAAGTCTGTAAACCACCAAAGAACTGGAATGACGTACCAGGGTTTAACACTGTAGTGTTTTACTCACATGAATACTGAATAGACCTCTCTATTAACGCAAGAATACTTTTTCAAATATCCAATTTTCGAAGACTCAGTCTGCTGAAGGAATCTCTGTAAAAATGAGAAAACAGTAAAATCACTTGTTAAATTTGGTTGCATAAAACAACCATAAATGAAAATGTATGGTGTATAAAAAATAGCTTAAAAGACGATCAAAAACGAATACGACTGAACCATGCTCTAGTCAGAAAACAAACACAGACTGGCCACTCCACTCACTTTAGACTACCTTGTTAAGTGCTCCGTTTGCTGCATGCAGTACAAAAAAAAGTTATTAATTTATTGAAATACTTCTGTATCAATTTATTTGGTAGCTTGCGCAACTAGTATATATAACTCTACCTGGCATATACTGCAATAATGTTCCTTTACTCAATGTTTAGGCTTATTTTAAAAATAGTTTGTCAGTCCATTCTAGTTTTCCTTTGAAAACTATACATCATCTTGAATGTGAATTATACTGCATAAGTGCCTTGTAAAAGGATTCAATCTCCTGCAAAGTTCAATGAGATGGAAGTCAGTGTTTGTACATATAGGATGTCCATGGCTCTAAACAAAACTAGCCTGTTTGGGTGAGGGGTAGGAAAGACACCATTACTGAAAAAAACGGGACGTTAGAATATTAAAAGCAAACAAATGGAATCTAATTTTAAAAAAAGGGTCTAAAGTTCTGAAGATTCTGAAAGCATCTGATCATGCTTTTTCCAAAATAGCTAAATTTAGTTCAGCCATGTATTTCCACATGCTAAAGTTTTGCAAATTAATGCAACAAAGTGGTATGTTTAGTCCACACACAACCTCATAAAACTTATTTTGTAGCTGCAATTAGAACCATTAACAAAGATGTGTCTGGAGATTGATAATTATTGTAAACTTTCCATTCGTTTCTTGGAAGAACTTAGGATTTTGGTGTCAACATCATAGGAAGCTTGTTCCAATTAATGCAATTAGTAGTTTGCACCCAAATGCTTCAGAAAAAAAGACCTTCAGAGACCTACCTGTGGGAATTGACCTGTAATACTGGCTTGTAAAGCTGGGGAATCTTCCGGTTTATCAGGGGCTGTAGGGATTCCTTGAGGCGGTGATAGTTCCTCTCTAACTCTCGCTGGTATTCTTTCTGGTCTGGGCCAATCAAACTCTTGTTTTTGCGAAGGGCATCTTCACACCTAGGTAACCAAGTTGAGGGATGTTCAAAGGTGTTTCACCATCAGTTATCAGTTATTGTATTTTTAATTGGATCTGTTTTCTTTGATTTTTCCAATCATCTAAAGGCTGTCAATTAGAACAGGGACAATGTGAATTTTCCTGTTTGAAACTCGCACCTTTTAATAATAATAACTATAATAATTCAGGAAAAAGTAGAAACAATTTCACAATTTTATTGACTCCTAAATAATTTGACAGTTTGAGGTTTCTAAAAAACTCAATTCAAATAACTTTATATACTTACCTTTTTGTAAAGTCCTTGAAGCACAGTCGCAGTTTATTGTGATGTCTGTACAGCTTTGGATCACTGGGTATTTCTGACAAGAACACTTGAGCAACTTCAAGGGGACCCTTAAGAAGACAAAAAAAATACTACCTTGAAGCTGCCTCTTTTTTTTCTCACCGTCTGCTTATGACAAAACTGTTTGGAGAAGCCACACATCCAACCTCAATACATTCATCACATTAGAACTATACCTTCAGGGTTTGATCACAATAGGGGCAAAACTATCAAAATAGGGCCACAATGTGAAAATATTTAAAGAACTGTATTGAATCAGCAACAGCAATTGCTCTAAAGCAACACATTGGTAGAGAGGCACTATGGCATTAAAAGTAGCATGCGGTTAAATCCACAAAGCTCTGTAAAAGTCACCTGATTGACAGTAGTTCCCACAGAACCCTGGAGCACCATCTGCAGCATCTTTGGGTCGGCAGGTTCCTGGTGTGTGGCAAAGGCAAGCTCCTGCGTTTTCTTCTGCATGTCCTCAATGGCGACTTCAATGGGTGTTGAAATGATCTGTGAACAGCATTACTGTGTTTTTATTTTCCCTCTTCACTGTAGTGCCATGGTTAGCACTTAGTGAATCCATTAATGGTGTTCCATTCCTGTCAATTTCAAGAACGGAGCGGTGGCTCTGTGGTTAAAGATCTGCGCCTGTGGCTGGAAGGTTGCCGGTTCAAATCCTGCAGCTGGCAGAGGAATCCTACTCCGCTGGGCCCCTGAGCAACTGCTCCAACTGCTCCAGGGGCGCCGTACAATGGCTGACCCTGCACCCTGACCCCAGGCTCTCTCCCTGTCTGTGTGTCTGTGTGTCTCATGGAGAGCAAGCTGGGGTATGCGAAAGGACAAATTCCTAATGCAAGAAATTGTAAAGGGTTAATAAAGTGATGTTATTATTATTATTATTATTATTATTATTATTAACAATCTGCAGCATTTGTGTGCATACGTTTTTTTTAACACATATGCTTTAAGTTATTGGCTATAATAACCAAAATCCAACATTTTAAATCTCAGGTATTCTTGTAGGTACAGCCAAAATCAGTAAAACATCAATAAAAAATAATCAGAAATGTGCCAAAATAGAAATAAAAACACAACCATCATTAAATAGCATTCTCCAGGTAGAGTTTGTATTCAGCTCTATTCTCTGTTGAAATAGCCAGCAGCTATATCACCCTGCACCTCACAACTTGCAGCTCACTTAAGCAGGTGTGAGCTGGGAAAGCTAAGGTTGCTGCTGGAAGAGCTGTGTGTGCAACCTGTAGAAAGTGCTCACCCAGTGGTCTGTGTGGATACAAATGACCCAGTACAGATATGGAGACACTATACAGTTAAAAAAGGTGCCATTTTTCAAATAAGACTTAAAACCAAAGTCCTACATGATCATTAAAAATCCCAGGGCGTTTCTTGAAAAAAGCACTGTTGTTACACTGGTCTCCTGGCTAATTTTTCCCCTGGCCTTTCCCAATCATGGCCTCCTAATAATCCCCATCTATGAACCGGCTTCATCACTCTGTTCTCTTCCCCACTGAGAACTGATGTGTGGGGAACGTACTGGTGCACTTTGGCTACCATCGCATCATCAAGGTGGGGCTGCACACTGGTGGTGGTGGAGGGCAGTCCCCATTAGCTGTAAAGAGCTTTGAATGAAGTGTCCAGAAAAGCGATACATAAGTGTAAAGAATTCTTCTTATCATTATTCACAAAAGTTTACCTTTATATGTAACACATTTTCTAACCATTTATGCCTCTTTTGTATATTGAACTTCAGCCATCTCTGTAACATTTCATCTGTGTAGAAAATAAAATAAAGGGCTTGCCTCTTCTTTGTGGATGACGTTAATGCGCGTCTTGATATAGGGGAAGGCATGGGAGGTGGTCATGATTGTCTTGCGTTTGAATTGCTCGTGAAGTTCACCATGAGCCCGGCCATCCAGCGTAAAGGGTGTGCAATACACGAAGCGCCGCAAGTTGTAGTTTTTATCAAAGTATGTTATTCGATCTTTCATTTCGTAAGTGTCAAAGTAGGGCTCCACATATGTTATCTGAACGAATGCCTGAGAAGAAGAAAACAAATGACATGAACCCAAAGGGTAAATCAATCTGCACTTTATCATTAAATTGTTTAAAACAAAGCAAAGCATTAAGCTAGTTTGCAAATGCTTCTATTTCTCTTCAAGCAAAGTACTACATGCGTGTACACCTGCTCAGACTTAGGACCATTCGACAGAAATGCTCATGATCTCTGGCTAAAGTCTGACTAGATTATCTTCAATTTTCACACGCATTCAACTGCTTATTAGAAATCAATCTAATGTTCAGACAAATCAATGGCGTTAGAAAAGTCTAACACTGGAAATCCCTAAGATAGACCAAGAAAAAACAATCTGAAATTGATTTGTTCTTTTATGTTCAGATCACTTATAAAAAAAAAATCAAATATGAAAATTAGACCAAGTCCCATACCTTGTTTGGATCGAGTTTGCATTTGTCCACAGGATTGGAGTCTTTTATGACCTCCACTTGGTCTTCTCCAAACCTTTCTCCGTAAAATCCCTTCATAAAATAAAGGGCACACATTTAATGCCAAAAAACAACCAACACATTTTGAGTAACACATTTCAGAATGTATTTTTATTTCTTTACCTCCAATCTGTGAGAAATTTCTGCAAGCTTTGTTATTGCCGGTTCCTTGTAAACAAATTCTTGTTCATCCAAGTCTCCAAATTTAGATCCATAAAACCCAACCCGGAAATATGTGCCAAACATTCTCTTACCATCCTTTAAAGCAAAAGCATATTGATCAGCCTTTTCAGTGCACAACACCATTCATTACAATCACTTATTGTCCTTTACAACATGTTATTCTCATTCTGTATATAAGCTGCAGATGTCAAGACTGGTTCCTAATGTTTTTTTTTCATTATGTTAATTACAAACAGATTTAAAGGTAAACTTTATCAAGGATAATAACACCATAAACAGTTATAAAACACATAAACGGTTTACCACAAATGGGTGCACAGATAAAATGCTGAAAGCAATGTGCTTTACCCAGTTACACACTGATAAAGTAGAGGTGAGGGGGGTATGTAAACAATTTTACCATTTTTCTTTAGAGTTACAGTTGTACAATCTATGTACTACTTCTAAACTATTTTTCCCCAACATTATCTGTTTTCCAGAACATTGTTAACATACAGAAATCCCTCATATCTATATCTATATGGCTATAATCTTAATCAGGATTTGCTCTGAAAACTAATGCTCATAGTATTTCACTTCCAATACTCATTAAAAAAACAGGCAACTTCAAACTTTCCATTTGTCCATTCAAAAGCTTTCATGCATGCTTTTATATTATTATTTTTTTATATATTATTGTGGCAAGACTATTTGATATTTTAAAACTTAAAACTGAAATGTTGATTCAGTTAATTTCAAATAACATTATTTAAACTTACTCAAATGTTTCATGCTATAATGCATACGGAGAAGACTTTTTGTAAATCAATTATTTCAAATGTTTTCAAATGAGGACTGAATGACATTTTTTAACAAATGAAAAAGAAATTGAAATGATGTGGTTTATTTGGAGTTTCTGCTGAATTTGCTGGCCATCAAGTCTGTTTTCTGGCTAGATCTAAGATGACTACGTTCACAATCATTATCATTTAATTAATCAGAAGTGCTGCACAGAAAAACTTTACCACTGTAACAGCTGAGGCTCAAAGGTGACTTGAGTTTGTGTGTCTGTGTAAAAAGTCACATGATACCCAAGGTTACTCTGTAATTAATATCAGCCTCAAAAAATGTCTACATACACAAAAAAACAACAACATTCATTCACAGTAGGAAAATAACTGAAGTTTTTTGGAACCTTCTTTTTTAAAAATCAGTTTTGGCTATTGTGAAGCAGTTTTGGCTATTTCAGAAAAAAAAGCATTATGAAGAATAAACAATGACCCTCACAGTCTTAAATAATGCATTTACTTTACTAAGAACAGGTATGGGAAAAAATATAAAAACAAAAAAAATGGAGAGAGAAAGCACCAGAAGAACGGTGACTAGTTGATAGGAGAAAGCGAGATGCTGTCTGAGAAAGGAGAGAATTTGGAAGGACCAGAGGTGTCCTTCCTGAGGTTAGGTAGAATAGAATAAAGGAAGGCTTTAGTTCTGTGAAATCAATATCCTGAACAACCAAAGCTTTAAGAGTTCCCAGAAAAGCAGATGAAGGAGACCCACACAGGCATTTAAAGATGAACTTGATTAAGCCTTGGCAGGAAAAAAGGAAAGGTGGAGACAGGTGGCTGTTTAGCATGGTAAAGTACACCTGCTGTTCAAAAGGTGTGAGCTGTGAAAAGGAGGGTTGTGCAGTGCATGTGTACGGGCTGAGCCAAATCATTTTCACTGGGTGCCTATTTCTGCTACACCCCAAGCAGATCATTTGCAGTTTGAATTTTTTTCAGGACACACCGTCCAGCTGACCTTTATACCCTAAAAGAATGCTGTGACATTTTCACTGTCAAGTCAAATCAACCGTAGCCCAGCTTTAGCTCAGCCCTTCACTAGTTAATTGCATTAGGTGTCCATAAAGTAACAGAAAAAAACCCTCAAACTAGGAACTTACCACAACACACAATAATTAAAGTGGGAAGGAGGGGTCAGCAACCAGGGGAATCAGAGGAGAAAACAGAAAGTACTTTAATCAGGGCGAGGAACTTCCAAAAAAGGCAAAAAAAAAAACAACCAAAGAGAAACAAAAGGCAGCAGCTACAGCAAATAAACATCAACAATGACAACAAAACAGAAAAAATGGTGCAGAACAAGAGGAAACAAACCAAACCATGCTATTGCTACTAGTGGAAGGCAAGCATACTAAGCACAGCATGAGGAGACAGTGCCAGAACTGCCCCAGACACACACAGTCCAGAGGAAACAGGGCACAGAGGAAACAGACAGGTGCGGGAGTCTAGTGTTTCTCTTTACCATGCAATACACCACAATGTACAAAGAAAGAGGTTAATAGGGGGAACGCAGATCTGGTCAAAAGAACAGTTCAGGGGTCGATTTTAGTTTAAATAAAACTAAAAAAAAATAAAACAAAAATTAAACCATGTTACAAATCAAGGTTCGTCAATTTATATGGATGCACATAAAAATAAATTGCACAGGTTCTAGCTACTATGACTTCATTAGCCCAAATAAGTACAACTGTGCTACTTTTTTTGTGTCAGGGGAGAAAAGGAAGGGAGTGGGGTGGGATAGGGGGTCTTAAAATCAAAATGGCACTTAAATCGAACCCTGTGGTTGAGGATGAAATTGATGGAAACAGGAAACGTCGGATGCCAGTGCTGGTGAGAGGGTCAAACACTAGTGATGATGAAGTGATTCATTCACCAAGGCTCTTCATTAGTGTGACACTTTGGAACCCATGCATTGCCTGCCAAACTGTCACGTTAACACTGTTTCTGGCTGCTGTCTGTACATCACAACAGCACGATGAACAGTAAAATCAGAGGTTAATGGACTGTATTCACAGCAGAGAGCAACATGACACCCACAGCTAGCACATGTGGGCAAGCAGGACTATGAACACAACCTACCTCCCAGCCTGTACTCTGTGTAACAACAAAGTAAAAAATACAGAACAAATAAACACACAATCACATCACAGCAAATAAACAGTAAATTAGATGTGTGAGTGAGGCTTCAAATTGGATTTAAATACAGTCTCAAATAACATAGAGCCCTTGATTGTATGTCCTATTTTTTAATCCTTTTAATGCAGGACAGACTGAACAAACATGCCTTCTGCAAAGGTTTTAATAACGGTATATATTAGAAAAAATTGAAAAACACTGCTAAGCTGTGTGCTTTGACTAAATTTTGCTTACGTCATTTAGATTAGAAAAGCATGCAAAAGCTTTCATTCTGTGAAATGCACCAAAATATGAAATGTCCTATCTATGTTACATTGATGACAAAATGTGCACATATTTTTAAAACTATACGCTTGTACTCTATTACAGATGTGCAGAGACCTCTAAGGCTGTTCATTAATGCACTTACATACAACAGCACCTGCAAGAAACTTGTGTGAACATTCAGAAGTGAAATTAAATGAGCATAACTCTTAAAGACCCAGAAACACTGCTTCTGCTAGAAATACTTTGGTTTGAACAAACTTAAAAAGAGAAAGAAACCAGTAATGCTTTTTATATACTATCACTATGTGTTCATAATATCCTATTTAAACAAGAAACGTTTACCTGATGGACAATTTTGCCAAAGGCTTCCTGCAGTTTACCATGTATTGTGGCAAGCTTCTTGGCATCCCTGTTGGCCTCGTGGATTGGAATCAACACTTTATAAACCTCGTTCACTGCCTCATACATTCCAGCCTACATAATCCCAAAGGGAAGACAAACAAATTGAGCATTTTAATGGAAGACATTTCAAAGACTGATTCATCTTCTCATCGTCATAAGATGGAAAACACTAAAAATTCAGGAAATGGGTAAAAAGAAATAGGTGTTTAAATTCTGACATTTTTCCCACTCTAGGCAAACAGTTAAAAGGCATTTTTTAAATTAGAATTTTAATCTGAGTAAAATTATACCATACACTAATACTTTTTGAATAATGTGTACAGTTTTGCTTCACAATACAAAAACACGACCAGATATATTCCTAATGCCATACTCTGATTGGCTAAAGGAAGTGAATTAACTCAGATATGAAACAAACTGACAAAGGCACTGACAATATCAACACTGTGAAGACTAAGGGGACATGCATTTAAATGTGAGAACAGGAAAGACTAATTTAACAAAAAGTGTTGTGGGAGTCTAGAACAAGATACCCGGTCATGTTATCAAGCCCAAACCCTAAATTATTTCAAGACGCAGCTAATCAAGAAGAGGCCATTTCGCCAATTCTTGTGCTTGTTGTGTTTCACACAATGAAAAGTCAAAAACGAAATTTTTCAGTATCCTAACCATCGTCTAGATTGGCACCAATCAGCATCCGCAAATGACACAACCACAAAATTACTGTGCTATTATAAGCACTATAGGCTAAGATTCAGTAACAGCTCTGTTGAACTTTCAATTCATACTAACTAAACAAACAAAAAAGGGTTACTTTTAAAGAACACCTACACATTTCCTTTGTCATTATTAATAAAAAAAATAGTGGAAATGCAAGTTAGTGAAAGGCTGTTTTCCAAAGAAAAAAATAATGGCACAAATATTGTCTCTTAAGTCTCAGACATAAGAGTGTCATTTTTTTTGTCCAAATAGCTCTTTTTGATATCGGCATCCTCTCACTGGCAGTACACCTCCATCGTCTCTTCGCATCCAGTACCCATTCTAGTGGATGAAAGAAATTATAAAGGTAGAAATCCCCACTTTAAATGAAATTCGGACTTGATGCCGAAAGGTGAGACAGTAGGGTGTTTTTGGACTAGTGAAAATGAAGTCTGCAGGACGTCAGCGCGGCCCAGCTGGGCCCGAGTTCTCACCATGGAGAAAGACGCTGCCGCCTGTTCCAGCAGCCCCACCAGCCCGGCCTCCGTGAAGTACTTCCCTGAGCAGATCCCCTCTTCGTCTGGCGAAACCACGTCATCCGACACTGCCGACTCCTCCAGCACGTTCGAGGAGATGTTCTGAAAGAAAGCAGCTGCGCTCCAAAGGACTGTATGCCATACAGGACAACCGCATTGCGTTTTCAAAACCAACACCCTCAATTATTTCAAGAAGCAGCTAACCCAGTAGAGGCCATTTGGCCAATTCCTGTGCTCGTTGTGTTTCCCACGATGAAAAGGTAAAACTACAATTTTCAGTATGCAAACCATTGTCTAGATTGTCACTGATCAGCACTGATCACTGTGCTAGTATAAGCACTATAGACTAAGATTCTTAATAATAATAATATAATAATAATAATAATAATAATAATTGCTTACACTTATGTAGCACTCTTCTAGAAAACTCCACTCAAAGCGCTTTAATGTTACTGGGGACTCCCCTCCACCACCACCAATGTGCACCCCCACCTGGATGATGCGACAGCAGGCAAAGTACGCCAGAACGCTCAGCACACATCAGTGGGGAGGAGAGCAGAGTAATGAAGCCAATTCATAGATGGGGACCTTGGTTTTATGTCTCATCCGAAGGACGGCCCTTGTTTACAGTACAGTGTCCCCGTCACTATACTGGGGCATTAGGACCCACATGGACCGCAGGGTGAGCGCCCCCTGCTGGCCAAACTAACACCTCTTCCAGCAGCAACGTTAGTTTTTCCCAGGTCTCCCATCCAGGTACTGACCAGGATCCCACCTGCTTAGCTTCAGTGGGTTGCCAGTTGCAAGCTGCAGGGTGATATGTTAACAATGGGATGCTGACACCCCAAGTCAATAGTTAAACTGCAACAGGATCTCTTTTTGCAGGATCCGTTTTGCAGTCCTACCTGGAAAGTGACGCAGCCCACAGGCAGGTATTTGCGGTCCTCCAGCATGCTGAGGTACTCGGCCACTAGGGCAGCGGAGTGGACCAGGCACTGCGCTGCCTCCGCGTGGTTGTTTCTCTCCGAGTGCTTCCCAGCCATGTTCTGCAGCCAAGTCAGCCGGAGGTCCGGAGATGTCTGGTACCCTTTGGCAATTCTGCACACATAGAGTAAAAACACTCACTCTCCTGCAGCACGGCGAATGTGGATTTTAATTGCCTCTCTCTGGGATTATCCTGGCACGAGTTGTCCTTGCTTATTCATGCATATCTTACAAAAAAGTATCTGTGGCTGGGAAACAAATACAAATACCTTTATCATCTAAACTGCCCGCCCTTCGCTTCTGCCTCAAATGAATCCATACCTGTACATGAGATCAATCAGCATTTCTGGATCCTCCTGGTGCTCCTTCATTTTCACCGTATCAGACAGGATCATGTGAAGGTTAAACACGAGATCTTGGACCTGAAAACAAGATATGGAAACCAGCAAAGATCACCGCATGTTGGGCAGGGTGTTCTAAAAGACGTTTAGAATATAAATGTATAACGCTATAGAAAATGTACACCAAAGGATTATAAAATCAATTAAAGTCAAAGCACTTATCTCCTAACTGGCCAGGAATCCTGCTTCTGGATTATTTAAGACAAAGAAGTCCTACACTAGTCCTCTATCCCTGTGTGTGTTCATGTCACCTCTGAAGAGCCAGATTCTTGTCACTACCTTTCCTGTACATATTTGGAAAAATTAGATCCCATGCAGACACTCTCAAAATACCACTACCTGCCCCAGCCATTCGTAATTTGTGATGCAGCTCCACACGAGTAAGCAAAGCTCCCCCCACTGAAAACACCATATGCCCAGTAAGTCCTGGGAGCATTGCTGTGTGGCACGCCAAGGAAACCCTGGCCAACTCATGTCTTCCCAAACCTGGCAGCTTGTATCAATTGTGCTCTGCTGCCTGGAGGTTCTCAGTTGTAGCTGGAGACGGACGGGGTCCAGTGGGCAATGTCTAGACTTCAGAGCTTCAGATGACTCTTGTGGTCAGTCATTCAGATGCCCTCTTCTGACAAATAATCTAGAACTACCCTCATCACCAGTTCCTTCTTCGGGTTAGTCGTAATCAGAAAGAGCAAAAGATACTCCCTGTCCTGCATTTAAAAAAAATGCTGGAACTAACGTTGCATTCCCCCACTTCTGTTAGTCCAAGATCATCCAAGCATTGGTCTCGGCCATTGAACTGAAGACCTCCCCCCATGTTACTTTAATAGGAATAAAAAAAGTTGACAGATAACCTGATCAGGAAATGTTGTTTCCCTCAGTTCCAAATCTTCTTCGGCATAAGTGAGAATAGTCTTTAGGGACCGCCTCAAGTACTCTTCATTGAAGTTCTGAGATGTCCCCACTAAAGAGGACAGGGACATGGTCACCTGCATTTTCACTCTTGCAAAGTTCTGGAATACAAGGAAAATAAACCTCTGAGCACCAGAAAGACTCATTACTTACATACAGCTGTATGCAAAAGTTTGGGCAGCCCTGGTCAAACTCCACGTTTCACTGAATCTCTAAGTGAAAAGAAGGTAACAACCCCCGCAGGGTACAAACTGAAACATATGACATATTTCTGCACATTGTAATGCACAATTACGCTTTATTTGCTGAATTTAACAATTTGAAAAAAATAAAACCGTGAATGTGGCGTGTGCAAAAATTCAGGCATTCTGTTAGTCAGTACTTACTAACACCTCCTTTGGCAGAAATCAGTTTCTCAAGTCTTTCTATTCTTGCATAAGGTATGTTTTCCCACTCTTCCTTGTAGAACTGCTCTAGCTCAGAAATATTCTTCAGTCTTCTTGTGTGCACTGCATGTTTGAGATCTCCCCATCATTCAGTCATGGGAGACTGAGAGGTAACTTTTTTAAAACCTCTGATTTCATCAACAAAGAGTAAAAACAAAATTAAACCACCCCCAAAACCATAAAACAAGCACAAAAAAGATTCCCATCTAATATCGCACCGAAACAAATAATAATGCACGTGCTGTCGGCCCAGGGGCTGCGGGCTCTGCACTCACGTTGCCGATCTCGAAGTTCTGCCTCATGAGCAGGTACAGCGAGGCGCTGGCGTGGGAGCGGATGGTGCCAATGCTGCTGCTGCAGTTCCTCAACAGCCGCAGACACAGGTCGGCGCACTGCTCCGTCTCCTCCTCGAACAGCAGCTCCGGAAACTGCGGACGTGACGGCGCACGGATGAGGAACAGCAGGGAAGAGCCAAACAGCCATGCATATAACTGAGCGTAAGAGCTGATCAGCAGTGTCAAACAGAGACCTCGCTGCAGTGTAGACGTTTATATCTGTTAGATCCTTTACTAATGAAACTGCTTTGTGTAATTTCCACTGTCAGGAACCTATATTAATGCATGTACCCAGATATATTTAAGCCTACATGGATGTTAAGTATAAAGATAAGGGTGTATTACATAATATTAGGCTTGCAAGATTTTAACATATCCAGATATTCCCATTTACAAAGTAGAAGTACTTCACCTTGATTGCAAGACAAAACTCTTTAATGAAGAGACTTTAAGCCGAAGAATATACACTACCTTGTCCTGAAGGGCTGGCGTGTCTGCAGGTATTCTACGTCTCTTTAAAGAGCTCCTGAAGAGCTCAAACTGTCAAACTGGTCCAGTTAAGCCAGTAGCCAGCTGGTTGATTTCGTTATGAGCCGGGATAGAATGAAAACCCGCCAACATGCCGGCCCTCCAGGATCTGGACCGGTACACACAGCGGGAGGCTGTACAGACCTTCGAGACGAGGGCTCTCTGTGTGGCAAAGCAGTGCTGCAGGTAGAGGGCGCTCTGGTTACAGGCCATGCTGTGCAGCAGCACCTTCAGCACCCCGCCCAGAACACTCTCCTTTGACTCAGTCACCGACACCGTCTGTTCGACAGAGAGACAGTGTCAAGGCAGACAGGAAAGAGTGCTGCTACCTGATACTGCTATATATATCCCAGTTGAAAGTACTTGGACAATGGGCCCACCTTGTCACATAGGCCTTTGTAACCTTGTTAAACTGTATTCAATTTCAAATCTAACTGACTTATTGGCAAAATTATGTTGAGTGTGTAGATAAACATATAACAGACACAAATCCAGATAATGCAGTTGTGAGTTTCTTTACAGTTCAATCTACTGGGTGTCTCAGAGCAGATTTTACAACAAAGAAATGGGGGTCATCAAATGTCCAGTTGAATTCTGACCATTTAAAAAAACACATATATTTGTTAACATACAAAGGCTTTGCATACTGTACCTGTACAATAATTTCCAAGGTGTCCAAAATGATCAAATTGGCTTCTGTTGCCAGATTGCCATCGATAAGCGCTTCATGTTCTAGCTCTGCTCTGGTTCTGTTACATGGACAGAAAGGCTACAATGAAGTCATTTTTAAATAAAACTGTACACAAAACATTAGGAGATAAGAATGCTTATTTCTCTGATTTTACTGTTCTGCGCTAAAAAGGGATATTTCACATCAAAACAGGAAAATAACCACTGTAATTCCTAAATAACTCCTATGTATGTACGGATGTGATACAATAGGCTACAAACCTAACGGAGGATCCCGGCTTCTTCCACTGCCTATGCTGTCATTAAACCTGCACAAAACAGCTCTTGTGGTTTAAAAAACATATCCCACTTCTTTAATCTGATTCAAGCTCCCCCAAGTTAAGAATCAGAAATACAGCAGTGACTTAGATTGGGGGAACACAGCACAGCACTGAATGCCACATGACTGCTCTGCAAAGTCCCATGCACACAGTGCAGCAGGGGGTTCAGATTACAAGGGACCAGAGAAAAGCCAGGACTGTTGCCCAATAAACCTGAGAAAAACAACATGCTGACATTCATTTTAAAGCATGTTTCAATTTGAAAATCATTCATTCCCTCTTGATTTTTAGATTATTATATACCTTATTATTCACAATTTAAAGACAATTTGATACTTTGTTCCACACAAAAACGAGACTTCACGAGCCTGTGTGTTGAACTTTAATTTTAAAAGACCATTTTGCAGTGCTGGCATTATCTATGACATCATAGTTTTTTTGCTATTACTTTATATATTAGATATATTTTGCAAACTTCACACTGCTCCTATTATTATCATACATTTGCAGTATTTTCAAGATTTTTAAATGGAACTTCTCTGACAGGTGTCATAACTTCCTTGCAATGTAAGTCAGCATATTTGATTTACATCTTGTTCTGTATCATAAGGCTTTGAAATCCTAAGAGGGCATTTTTAGCTGATTCAATGCATGAATAAACAAAGCTTATATTAATTACACAGGTGTATTCCCCTAACGCCTTTTATATCACAAAGCTAGTACTTCATATTCTTTAAAAACAATTAAAATCAACTGTCAGCACAAAAAGAATTTCACCAGTGCTGGCTTGCCAGGAAGTTATAATTCCCAATCTAATTCACAAAGGGTAATTATTTATTTTTAAGGTATACAAGGGCACTTGGGTTTTCAGATCAGTTCAGAATCACACACAAAGCATGTAAATGTAAAAAGCAAGCATGGTCTTTGGATTGGTTTAATGCACAACACTGAAATCAAAACCCAGGCAAAATCTAGGAGGGTAGGAAACAGGGAGGGCTGCGATGTGGGGTAAAAGCAGGAAAAACAGAGCATTGCACACACCAGCATTACAATACCTGACAGCTTTCTGGCTCCTAAACACACAGCACATGTGAAAAACACAATTACAGGCATGAGTTACGACTGCATTGCTATATACAACAATGCATCCCTCAAGACAATTCTATTACCTGCACACAAATGAATCTAAAACTGAATGCTTTTTGACTAAACCTTCTCCTACCATATAAGCAGGTATGCTCCCCAAAGAAAATGTGCACAAAATACTAGGAATATGTCAGTGTTTTTAATCTAAATTGTTCATTTAAACCCATTAACCATCCAACACATCATCTGAGGATTATTTCTTATTCTCTTATTTTCTTGTGGCATTCTGTGTGCTTGTAAAACATAAATGCTGAAAGTAGCAAGTGTGGGACATTAAACCTGGTATTTTAAAGTGAGTGCCAATTGATTCCCCTGTTATGAATTTATCACATGAGATTTAGATGTATATTAAGCCGATATTCTAACTCACAACTCTTCAGATAATTAAAAAAAGATTCCAATATATTCTGTAATAAATGGAAAGCTAATAAACCGAAATGATAATTAATCAATGGTGCCTTAAAAAATATTCACCAGCTTCCAATGTCATCTCATTTTGAATTACACATACTAAATACATATTTATTTTTAAGTGAACATTTAATCGAAACTTGAAAACTCAAATGTATCACATTTATAGACTAACAGACTTAAATGTCAACAAAGAAACTGCAAAGAGAACTCCAAAATTAAAACATTCACTTCTAAAAATGTGTGTACATCAATGTGTGTCATTCAATAAAACTGAAAAAACTTTGAAGAAGGTGAATAATGTAGCACAAGCACTGCTAAACTTTTTATTTTTTTCATTCCTTTCTCTGCAATAACCATAAATTCTATAACACTAACATCAAAACTTGAGAATGATCAGAGCCAATAACAATCATGCACTACTCAACAGGTACTCTATTTTTTTTTCATTAACTACAACTAAAGCCTGTTGTTTGCTATCTTGTCTCCCAAGACATACCTGACAATGTATGAATAGCAGCTCAGTGATGGTGAACAATATTATTAGTTTGGAACAAAACGCAGACTACAGGGAAAATCAGTAAGATACTGTGCATTGTCAGGGTAACTCAGGTGGACCATGTACAGTATGCATGTGCCTAAGTGGTACAGAATAACATTGAAACAAGGTGACAGAAGTGGACTACATGCAACATTTTTCAAGTGTACGCTTCTATGAAAGCATGAGTGGGCGCAAGCAGGATGACAGAATTGAAAGGAAGTTTGTGATGTGGGACAGTGCTGCCACCCCACCCCCAGCCCATTTAACACGGTTCAGCAATCCAGCAGTTGTGTGCCAATGTGACACTACACTACCTAACCTGATGGGTTCACTGGGAGGCAATTAATTGTAACTTTTAGCAACATTACACTTGTAACCTTAAAAAAAGTATGAATGTGGCTGAGGTCCAACCATTTCTACTGGTACGTGCTTGGAAACCAAACAATAATACTGGTGTGAACCCCTAAAGCTGAAACAAAATACAAAACACGTTTCTTTGCAAGGCTTAATACTGCCACGTCTCATTGAGTAAATTAAAATGACATTACTCTAGCTTTTCCAGATATGCCCAGTGTTTTTGTAACAATAGAAAGAGACTGTGAAAAGAAAAATAATATTGTCAAGTAGCACATGTATCAGTGAAACTTAACTATATTCCAGTAAAATAATCATCCCATATAATAATAATATACTCATAATTTTTATCCAATATGATTCTAAGGCACTTGAAATGCAAGAGGGACACACTTCTTCACAGAACTGTTTCACCCTCTTACTGTAGGTAATGTTCAACAATCTCACTACAGAGAAGTTAGGAGAAGAAGAGAGAAAAACTGCATAAAAGTTTGTTGAAGTTGAAGTCCAGAGGGGGATTTAGGATGCTGGGGTTAATACCCCTACTAATTAAACTCTAAACATTTTTAACTGCAGTGGTTACGGTATAACATGAATTTCTACTGCTGATCTACAGGAGGATAGGGAAGCTTGTCATGGAAACGTAAAACTTTAGGAGAGGCAGTCATACTTGTCTAACTTTTCGCTGTTTTGACGCCAATGTGTCATGTCTTTTCTCCACCTCAAGTTTTCCTGGCTTCCAAAGGCACTCCCCGATGGACTCCTCTCTGCAAAAGAAAAGAAAATCCTCATTCCACTCCTCCAGTTTATTTACGGCACAAGTAAATAAGCAGCAATTCGCCATTCTCATAAGAAATGCACCGCAGTGGCCAAAACAGTTTGCTCGTGAGCTGGTAAGTTCGTCAATTTTTGGCTAAAGCAAAAGTGTGAAAAAAATCAAGAACACGGATTTTCACCGAAACAACGTGGCCACTTAAAAGGGGCTCTATTTTAAGAGAGAACAGAGAGCAAATTTTGCAATGGAGCTGCAGGGTCATTGTGTTATGTAGTTACACTGGGTTTTGGATTGAAAAAGTTTTAAAACTAGCACTAGTTGTTCACAGTACGGAAGCTACATGCCACCACGTGTTATTGTGCTCATATCACAAAACCTATCCAGGTACAAATGCACAGGAAGGCTCACAAGCACTTTTAGAACTAGCAGGCATGAGGCAGAGCACTGTAACCCACCCAGCTGTCCGCGGCTGCGGCGCACCATTTCCTGTCGTGCTCCAATGCTGCCCAGGATTGCTTCCTCCAGCTTCGCCTTCATGTCCTTTGACTTCTTAAACGTTAAACTGTTCATCCTTTCAAAGGCTTTTTTCCCCTGCACGGTAAGAGAAAAGTGAACGGAACCTCTGCAGCAAAACAAAAAAAACGGCGGACCAATATCCAACACCTCTTTTAAGTTTGAAACAGCTGACTTCTTGGTTATGTACAGCCTGGCTGTCAAATATAAAATTTGAGAATGTAATAAAAGGTACAAAACTATGAATACCTCTCATACAGCTGAAAACTAATCAGGCTCCGATAAGTCTCACTGATACCCTAATGGATGGCATTAATTACACTGAAAGGACATTTTCCCCCAAATTATCCCACTGTTTTTTTTAGCCACAGAATGAGATTAGTAAGAAAAATAAATGACCGTTTTTAAAATACAACTGGCAAGGTACGCAAAGCTTTGCTACTTTTCTCCTAGCACTTTCTTTTATTTGAAAACAATTACCTTGTATTCAAAGCATGAAACACAAAGGTACAGCATATCAAGCAAGCGGTTGAGCTGCATGACCGACAGGTCGGTGAACCACTTCTGCAGGATCATTTCGTCCGCGTTCTTCAGGACCCAGAGAAGACAGATCAGGAGGCTTCGGCTCGACTCCGGGGAGAAAGAGCCGTGCTGCCTCCCGGCCTACAGCAGGAGAAGCAAAGTCACTCTTACTGGGAGGCTCAGGTAATACCGCACTACTGCAAGGCACCAAAATAGCTTCACAAACCTTCTGCGTTCTCTGGAGACTGTCCTGCCATGATAGAAGTCATACCCAAGACTGCTTTCGGAAGATTTAATACACATAATGTTTTCACATTGCTTTACCATTATTTCTACACATCAGTAATAAACTAATATGTTTTTAATTTTATTTAATTAAAAACAGAAAATAACATTTCTATAATAACACTGGTATGCTCCTTCAAGTTTCTAAGGATAAAAGGTTTGTTGAACAAATATAATTGAATAAAAGTCTGTGGCCAAATCAAGGAGAATTCTTCAATCAAATGCTTACAGTGGGTAAAAGGCTTTATCATCAGCATGGACAGCCAAAATGTTTAATTTACCACCACTTGCATCATGAAGCACTACAAACCATGCTTGTATCCAATACAATTGATTTCATACGGTTTATTTCCAAACCCAGACAGCTTTGAGCACAGCTTGGAGCACTTGTGGGATGTCGTGGCAGGCAGAGACAGTACCGTAGGGTTGAGCAGGAAGCTGCTAGGCCGGGACAGCTGTGGAACAGACGTTCCTGCTATCGCCATGGCAACTGTCTGACTGATCATGCTGTTGCCTTCGACCTCGTGGTCATCGCCCCCGGCGCAGCTTGGCCTTCCCCGCTGGTTGTGCGACTCTGGGAAACAAACAGTGTGGATCTATCAACCAGATTTCAGACTCAAGTCACTTTTCATTTTTTCATTAAAGCAATTCAAGTATTGTTGCAAAACCTTTGCTTTTACAAAACACTTCACCACCTTTTAAATGGAGAATCACGATCATTGCTCCATAATGAAAAAATATTCCGGGTTTTGGGAAATTTAAGAGATGGTATTCTGCTCAGGCTCAGTCTGAGTGGTAGAGTGTAATGGATTCACTGCACCAAGGCAAGTTTATAAGGAGATATTACAGGGCTGTTAGATGTTAAATTAATATACAATATACAGTGCCTTGCGAAAGTATTCGGCCCCCTTGAACTTTTCAACCTTTTGCCACATTTCAGGCTTCAAACATAAAGATATAAATTTTTTATTTTAT